CGTGTAATCTACTGACCCCTGGTGAGCTGAAGAACCTCGTTAAGACCTTATCATAAATGAAAAGTTGATTACGATTAACTAATTATCATAATAATTGCATCATGTATCGAAGCCTTTGAATGGAGTAATTCTAACGTCATTTCTGGTGAATTGTTTGTTCTCAAATGATGCTTCTTTCCACCATAGTTCACGCGCTCCCAATATTCTTAAACTACCCATTTATTTTAAAACCTCCAGTTATCATCACTCCATATGCAAGTCATACTACTACTACATAAGATGACGTCACTAATCGTAAAACCAATGAGAGTGGCAGTGAAGCGTTATATTATGTACGTTTTTTGTAGTAAAAGCTAATCTAAAGTTGAAATTACGAGAAAAACCTTATCGAAACTTATTGCCATATAGTAAAGAAAAACAGCCCCCACCCCCAGTGGCACAGCGGTGTGTTTGCGGACTTACAACCGGGTTTCGATACCCGTGGAGGGCAGAGCACAGATAGCCCAATGTGTTGCTTTTTGCTTAACTTCAAATAAACAAACAGACAAAACAGAGTGAGGAACGTCCAGTTCACTGCCAGGTCTGAGGTTGAGAGTATTAGTTTAATAATGTCACCAGGATAACTTTTAACAAATAAAACTTCAATATTTTAGAAAATCGTGCTTTGTAGACACAGATAATACAGTGGCAGCATAACAATCCAATAGTATCTAATATATAGGTTGAATAGTTAATTATTGTACTCTATCAATTACGAAAGCAATTTACAGATGTAGGGAACTAAATTTTGCAAAATGTCAGCATGTCAGTTTACTGTATAATACGGACTTACAACGCTAGAAACCAGGTTTCGACACCCGTGGTGGGCTGAGCACAGACAGCCCATTGTGTAGCTTTGTGCATAACTTCAAACAAACAAATAATACGCCCCCCTCACAGTGGCACAGCGGTATGTCTGCGGACTTACAACGCTAGAAACCAGGTTTCGACACCCGTGGTGGGCTGAGCACAGACAGCCCATTGTGTAGCTTTGTGCATAACTTCAAACAACTAAATAATACGCCCCCTCCCAGTGGCACAGCGGTATGTCTGCGGACTTACAACGCTAGAAACCAGGTTTCGATACCCGTGGTGGGCAGAGCATAGATGGCCCATTGTGTAGCTTTGTGGTTAACTTCAAACAAAGAAAGAAACTGTATAATACGTATGCGAGAAGAATAATTGTGTACTAACTTATGTTTGAATTTAACATATTTTGTTCTTATTAATTAGAATATAAATTACAAAGTATTTCGAATTAACATTAATTGTGTTTGGACAAGACACAATTATCTGCGACAGTGATTTTCATAAAATGTGTGTTTTGTTCAGTTATCACGTGCTCCACAAGTATACTACACCTTCGTTACATTCTATTGAACACGTGCTACATATTCACCATTCTCCCAGTCGAAGTCTTGATGTGCTGTCATGCATATTCTAGTGCATCTCTGATAGTTTAATGAAATTATAGTAGCCATTATAGCGGAGAGCCAAGTATCCTGTCTTTGAAACACACACACACACAATTATGAACATATATATGTATACAAAACAATGACAACATTAAAAAGTTCATAACTTACCATAAAATATTTCCCGCACTTTAAGCTGTGGGTGCGTTATAATAGTGACAGTTAATTCCTATAATGGATCGTAGGTGGTGTGGTGCTGCTGCTGCTGACTGTCTGTATTCCCTCTGGTCAGTAGTTCAGATTTAGGGACGGCGACAATTAGCCTTAGTAGCTTTGCCATAAATACAAATACATAAAGTGAATTAAAAAGTGGCGAATTTGTATATATATGTTTTAGTTTCAAGGAGAGCCTCTGTGGGTCAATGGTAAGCTGACAAATGTGCTAAAATCATGGTTCGATTCCCCGTGGTGGACAGAGCGCAAACAACACATCGTGCAGTTTTGCGTAAAACAAAAACAATAGATTTCAAGAAAAAACGTTTATAGGTCAACATTTTAATTATACATATGTACTGTTTATCCATTTATCCTGCTTTTCTGTAAAATGTAACACAGTGTTTAGTGTTCGATTAGAGAGACTAAATATTATTTTACATAGTAAATATACAAATACGCTTACATTTTCGTCAGGAAAATACATTTTAAGATACATGTATATAAAAAAAAATGTTGCAATCTCTCTAAACGAAGACTGAACACTGAATATCATTGTATTATCAATTTAAGAATTAAACTTCTATTGCTTTAAAGGGTCCGTGTGCAGTATCCCATAATCCAAAAGACGTACGTCATTGCCTGTTCCAAATAAAATATAGAGGGGAGAAAACTCAAACTCATACCATGAGTGTAAGTATCTATGTCACATCTTGACACCCCTCCAAGAAAGACACAGGGCCAAAGTGATACAGCCTTCTAGTCATTGCTGTAGGTAACCATTATTTCAGAAAAAGGATTAGTACGTGCTTACAACCACCTTTTGACACCCAGTTTACAAGAATTTCATAATTTATTGTGCCTCAATAAATTTACTAGTTTACACTAGTCATGAAAGGGGGGGGGATCAGCAGTACGTTTACGGACTTACCATGCTAAAAATCCTGGGTTCGATTTCCCGCAGTGGACAGAATGCAAGTATCACATTTTGTAGTTTTGCACTAAGAAAATAAAAACAACCGAAAATAAACTTGTGTTTCGCAATATGAAAAATACAAAATTTCAAATTAAAAACAAATATTTCTATTTGGTTCGTTTCAGAGGTAGAAATAACAAAACAGCATTACTGATACCAACAACAAACCTAGACGCAGCGTCACATTAATCAAGTTTGAGACTCTGGATTAGAAAAAAAAAGATCAATCCCCTACCCTCATCGTATACTTTTCAGTTATGAACTTTATCGTAGGTCAAATTCATAATAAAATGCATGCACCAATGTGAAAATCAATATGAAGAAACCGATAAAAATAGTGAAACAAATGTTAATCAGCCAAAAAAATAAGAAATGCATCGCACAAAGCCTGACCGCTCTCCAATAAGAGGTTTCATCCAATTTTCCACTAAAAAGGTCTGTTTGTTAGTAAACACAAAGCTATATAATGAGCGACTGGCTGTACACACCGCTGTAACAGAAACTCAATTTTAAGCGTTTAAGTTCTCAGACTTACCACTGATCCATAGGGAGGGCTCTTTTTTTCTTTTTTTTTTGTAGCTAAGCACAAAGCTACACAAAGGGCTATCTCTGCTCTGCCCACCACGGGTATCGAAACCTTGATTCTAGCGTTGTAAATCCGCTGGCCCACTGGCGGGCCAGGAGGCCTCACCAGAAAAAAAAATGGAATTTTTATGAAGGGATAGAATCGTTTAAATTTAACTAAAACAATAAAAACTTGGTTAACAAAAATTTTGGCGAAGATATAAAATAAAGCCATTCATATAAGAATGTAAACAAATAACATATTTCAATTTGTTTCTGGGCCACCTTAGAAGACTGGTCCCGGGGGGGGCCCATTGGTTAATCCGGTATTGTTTATAGTTCTTTTAGTAATCTTAATAAAATGAGAAAAGTATTTCAACGAATCGTGTACTACCTGAAATTAAGATAATTTTTTATTCTGTCCGCTATTTCTTATTCTTAATCGTTTCTACGATAAATGGAGCTTCTGGTAAACAAAACTATTGTTATTTTTTTTCATGATACTGTATATTATTTTGAATTTAACTTTGGTAAGATTTGTTTGTTTGTTTTGTAGTTAAGCACAAAACAACACGACGGGTTATCTGTGATGTGCCCACCGCGGGTATCGAAACTCGGTTTTTAACGTTATAAGCCCTCATACTTATTGCTGAGTCACCGGGAGGGGAGTTTGATAAGGAATGATTAAATCATCTTACGACACACGCAAAGCATTTCGTTCCTATAAAAAAAAAAAAGTTTGAATCTAGATTCGAGTCCTTCCGAACTATTAGTTCAGCTGCGTACAGTTATAAATGCATTTATTTGACAAATAATAAACCAGTTTATTAAGCACCGGTTTAATAAATGCGCGAGCCTCTTGAGATCTGACTTCAAACATACTAATTGGTTTCTTTTTCGTTGTGCTAATAGTTGAATTAAAGTTTTGACACTGAGGCCGCTTACGACCGATGGGGCATCTCAAATACTGATGCATCATCGGTGTTTCTGGGACATGTTTTACCTGGTGACGTCCATATCCTCCTCAGGTAGACGTCCCTAATTTAACACCCCCACTGCTAGCTCTTGGTCTAAGTGACATTGACCATCATATTATAATGAACTCATGGATGAAAGGACGAGCATGTTCAGTGATGGCAAATTGCGAGTCGAATGCCCTAACCATCATGTGATACCAGACCATATTTCATACACAAACTATATAATAATTGGGTAGCAAAAGAATCACTTTCGTGTTTGTGCATTTGACTGGTAGTTTGTTCAAGCGCAAAATTTCACAATGGGCTATCTGCCCTAGCTTTGCCCTTTACAGGGGGTCGAAATCCGACTGGTAGAAAGCAAAACGAGGAAAGAAAGCAACAACAGAGAACCCCTGAATGTTGCGATACCCAAGTGGTTGAAGTGAAATGGTAAACACTGAGATGTCTTATCCGTATTCGTCTAAATAAAGCTAGAACTCGGGATTCGATCCCCATGGCGGACACGTCGCAGATAGCCCCGTGTGCAGTTTGTGCTAAAACAAATGGTAAATATTGAGACATCTTTTTCTATTCTTCCAAGTATAAGGAGGTAAACTTGGGTAACGCTAGAAATTGGGGTTAGATCCTCGCGGTGAACACATCACAGCCTGTGATAAAACTAATATATATTCTAAGCTCAATTTTGTAGCTTGTGTCTTATAATCCAATTATATACAGGAGCTATCTTCTTTGTTGTTGTTGTTGTTATGAGCAGTGTTTAAGTGTATTGTACAAGCCATTGAATATTGAAAGTTCGTTTTTATGGGTTTTTAGGAGGATGTTCCCTTCGTTTCAAGTGAAATTGCACGGTATGGACCCTCTAGCGGAGTATATGATGATGATGGATTTTGTACCTGTAGACGATAAACGATACAGGTATTCTTTTCAAAGGTAGGACTTACCTTCTTTTGCCTACGAGACAGTGGTTTTGGTTTCTCATAAATTTGACAAAACATTTGTCAAAATAAACATATATCTTTTAAACACACACAAAAAAAATCATTGTCAGCTAAAACAAAAACACTGTGATATATTGCAATTGTTTCCATCAACGGAATACACTCTAAATCTTAAAACAAAAGTAAATCTCGGTTATAACAATAGGATCACGCTCGAGTTTTCAATCAAATTATAAACTTTGATTGGAATTTAACATCAACAATTATCACCAGGACACCAATATTTAAAAAGATATCTAATCAGGCTGTTTGTAGTCAACCTTCAAGAAACCTAGATTTTGTTTTTATGTCAAAGTATTTTTTTATCGTTATTTGTGAGAACATATTGTGTATTATTGGGGAATATGCCCGTCTAGGAAAAGTGACATGTTTACACGTAATCAAGATCACACATTTCTCAGTAGACTGCTTACAATTCCTGTTATTATGTGGGTTTCTTATGTTAGTCTTTCCAATGCAGTTCTACGTGGGTGGTGTCTGGTAAAGCAGATCCGGTCATGCCTCCCCGGATTCACGTTCATCCGGACTCTCCTGCTAAAGGCAGCCAATGGATGAAACAGTTAGTTTCTTTTGACAGACTGAAACTGACCAATAACCAAATGGATAACAATGGCCACGTAAGTATCTTTGAGAAAATAAATGTTTAAAGATTTTGTTTGTTTGTAATTTAGCACAAAGATACACAATGAGTTATTTATGCTATGCCCATCACGGGTATCGAAACTGGTTTTTAGCTTTATAAGCCTTCAGACTTACCGCTGAGCCAATGAGGGGAATGTTTAACAAATATAATTGTTCAAATTTTAAACTTTAATAATGGATTTACTAACAAATAAAAGGGAGACTTTTTTAATTGTTTAATCTTTCAAATATTTCAAGTAAACTTTACTTTTGAATATCTTAACCCTGAACTTAGATTAGAAAACTTAATAAAACTTACACTTGATACATTACAATTTTTTTTTCAGATTGATAAGTCTCGCACTCACAAATAGAAATGCCATTTGAAACTTAGTTCAATGTTTGTGTGTGTTGAGTGGGGTGGAAGATTTTTACAAAAGTTCATGGGCTTAAAATTTCCTGTGGCCTGGCGTTGGATTGTATTGCAACTTAACAGCACGCGCAGTACAAGTGTAAAACCGATACTTTATTGTTTTTGGGAGGTGAGGGTTCCTCCTGCCTCTCCACAATTGGCGTTCCTATGTACATGTATTTTACCATAAAACTGACTCTGAAAACTGAAGTTGCACGTACTCTTGCCTGGTAATAAAATTCAACATAATGCTGGATAGGTAGGTTGAAGACTTTAGCTAATGCTGTGGTATTTTCAGTTGAGGCTGATTTTACGAAAGGTTAACTCAAATAGGTCCTCTATACAACAAAAGATTCGGCAAGATATGCTGCAAAGTAATACTGAGTTCTGCCAAAACTGAGCCTGTGTTAAGAAATAGGTGGACTGGGCACGACGTGTGAACAAAATCTTTGAACTATGGCCCGTCACCTTTATTGGAGTCATGTATTGTTCAAGGTGGCTATACTCCATCCATACTTATTTCCAACTCACTCAAGACAACGTTCCAGACTGATTAAATCTCATACTACTTAATTGAATTAGTACCATCGGACTTACCCAGAGCGACTAGAACTATCACGTGACTGGTTATTCCCATTTAAACATAAGAAAAGTTGTAACCTCGATGTATCACATCACCTACCATTGGAGGACACCGCTGTCGACCTTTATAGCTATACCCCTCGTGGTCAGACCGTGTGTTATTTCCAAGTGATGACAAATTACAAAAATCAACTAAATTGCTTTCTTGACCACATGTTGTGTGAAAACTGCACATACCTAGAATAAAAATTTAAAAAATGGAAAATTCCACATTAAAATAAGACTGTAGAACCCCCCCCCCTCTGTTTTAGACTACAACTGTAAGCAGTTCTTTCTTCTCATACACTATCCGAATTCAGTGCCCATGAATGTATGACTAGCATATGCTAGCCTACTCAATCCTGTAATTGTGATAACACTTCTTCCATTTCCACTGCCATTGGTGCCAATGTCCAATAGGAGGTCACTGTCCTGTCATGGATATACAAGTACTGAAGTCTCCATTAAAGGAAGCTCCAGGATTGGAATACTTCTCCATATTCTTCAGTCCATCCAAAGTACATCTCAGTTTTAGTGAGAGCAGACAATGGTGCTGCCACTTTGGAGAAGTTGGCCACAAAGCATCAAGTAAGCCAAGCTGGATGATGAGAGCAGACTTAAGACTACTTTTACTACGAAAGATGGTTTGTAAAAGTTTCACCTCATTCCGTTAGCCTGTGTAACATGACTGTCACTTTGTAGAAGCTAATGGAGCTTACAAAGAAAAGACTGCAATGGGAGAAGTGCTCGGTCTTTGTCAACAATGTTTTGGTGTTTGGTTACACATTTAAATCTGTGGCTGAGGGCCTGAGAATGGTATTCCAGTGGACAAAAAAGGCAGGCTTCAAACTAAAACCAGGAAAATTTGCACTCATGTGCACAGAAATTGAATTTCCCAATCCTATTGTAGGTAGAGATGGAGTCTCTACACACACCCTGCTAATGAAGTAGTGATGAATACCTAGCAAGAAGTCCGTAGTTTTCTTGGTTTTTACATCACATTACCAATGCAAATCTAAAGTGTTGAACAAACGAGAATCTTCTCCCTTTCTTTGTAAGCTCCACTATCTTCTCCAAAGTAACAGTCATGTTACACAGGCTAACGGAATGAGGTGAAACTTTTACAAACCATCTTTTGTAGTAAAAGTAGTCTTAGGTCTGCTCTCATCATCCAGCTTGGCTTGCTTGATGTCAAATCTAAAGCAACGAGAATCTTCTAACATGTCCAGAAATTCATATGTTCATGACGGGAAAGACGTCAACACGAGTTACCGCGTTCACCAATCTAAAATCAGCTCCGAACCGTAGCGTATCTTTCTTTCCGACAACCGCTACTGGAGACCACCAAAAACTCTCTGGACATTGTATGATTCCGACCATCAGTATTCGTTGTGTCTCAGGAGTGGATCCAGGGAAGCCGAAGCACATGAAAATATTGTAATTGTTTTTTATTGATAAAACTACTTATGAAAGTAATATATCTGTATGTTTGAACTGTTCGTACTTCTTCCAAAATATTATTCAACAAACCGTGTTAGATCAAATTCGCTCCTGCAATACCAAATCTCGTGGAAGCTGTCGTAAGCCTATTTTCATAGTAACAAGTTGGCAAGCAACAATTTATAAGCATAATAAAGTGACTTCATTTTGGAGGTAATATATTACATGTTTCGACAAAACAATTGGTCTATCTTCCGTATTTTGATATTATGTTTGAAACTTCTAAACCTCCTTCTGTTCATTATTGTAACAAATATATTTTTATTAAGTCTACAAAAAAATTTCCTTAGGCCTAATTTGTAAGTCAGGTTTTACTTTGAAGTTCTTTATTTATTTGTTGCTGGTTTTTCGACACTAACTTGCACGATACTTTAGACTCTGTGTTGTTAGCTTGCCCTAGGCCTAGAACGTTACATCGTTACCTGTATGTTGTTTATACGCAGATCATCTTGAATTCCATGCATCGCTATCAACCGAGGTTTCATGTTTTGTATCGAAACCTTAAAAATGAAGATCCGAGTCGGACACAAAACTTCAAAACGTTTATATTCCCAGAGACAAAATTCATAGCAGTAACAGCTTATCAAAACCACAGGGTGAGCCAATTTTTCGATTATTCATCACAAAATTTTGTGTTACAAATATTGTTTTTCTTAGTTATAATTCGACTCTTACAGGATTTTATCTTTGTATAATTCATGTATTATTTCTTAATAGACTGATGGTATAATACTAGACAAATAAATATACACCTACATCTTTATAACGTATTTATAATACAAAACAAAACGCTGCACATCAAAACAAATTTAACGTGTCCTGGTTTTCAGAGGTGACTGTGGAAGTATGACCCACATAGTAATCGTGATACACCGTTTATTAGTTTTAACCTCCATTCGCAAAGCATCACATGTAAATAAAAAATAGAGAATAAAATGAAGAAAAAAATGCCAATGAAAAAAAAAAGATATGGGTGCTTAAGTCCACCACGTCCCACATATATATCACCCTTCACTTCCTGCAGATAGTTGTGGGAAGGTGACTGCTCTAAGAAGAATGTAAAAGATGGATAAGATAAAGTCCCCATTGGGGGCAGTGAGTAAGAAAACTTTAACTCCTTAAGAGCCCCCCCCCCCCCCAGTGGCACAGCGGTATGTCTGCGGACTTACAACGCTAGAAACCGGGTTTCGAAACCCGTGGTGGGCAGATCACAGATAGCTCATTATGTAGTTTTGTGCTTAATTACAAACAAACAAACCTTCCGAAGTTGGCGTTCCAGCACTCGTTATGGTATTAAAACCTCACATCAATAAGGCAATATTAGGTACCACAACAGACAAATTATACTAGAATAAAATATTTACCAAATTGTTTGACACCCATCCTCCACCCAACGCATTCCTCCCTATTTGATGTAAGTATCAACTTAACTTCTTAGATAATATTCATGTTTACATTATACTGTTACGTCTCTAGTCGTTTGTTAATTTCCGGTATAGATTCTTCCCAGGGAACTTCAGCGATACAAGTCCTTTCTTAAATAAAACTAGTTTATTCTTTTTCAATACAACTTTGCAATACACAGAATGTCCACGGTTACTTTAACTTAAACACATGCTATAATTCACAACGGTTCACGCATTTTAGTTACGGTCACTACCGCTCACTTGATTCAATTATCTCTCTATCTGCCAATCTATGCCGTCACTTCTTCTCTCCGCTTTATTTGCCGGGCTTATATACAAAAATTGAGGGCGTCTAGCAAATACTAGGATATTCGTGATTTTCCCCGATCCTTCTAGAAACTCATGACGTGTTACCAGCGTCACGTGACTTCTGCTGTCATAACAATACATATATAAAGTCTTGTTAAATAGTTATGCCCCAGCTAAGTTTTTGCCTATACTTAGCTGATGTTTAGCTCTCAAGAACTGAAATCTAAAGCAACAATAACAGCACTGGACGTTAGTATTAGGCCTATATTTGATTATAACTATGCTTCGGAAGCTTAGAAAAGACTTTCACACCATAGTAACTGAATCGATTTGTTAGCAAAGTATCTTTAGCAGGGTTGTCAAATTTTAGAGATCTGTTTGAGTGAGACTTTTGGAAAAGTAAAATTTGAAAAAGTGTAGTGCTGGTTACCCTCATCTTCTATAGGGAGTTTTGTGGGCATGTTCACTCCAAAAATACTTTATTCAAGGAAACAAAATGGTGCAATCTGGAGCATTTCCTGGATCGACGTAATGCTGAATTTGACCTGGATCCGGCAGGTCAACCAACCACAAGCTGTTAATTTATCAGATGTTTTTTACCAATGCGTGTGAGCACAAGCAAAAAACAACAAAAACAGAAAAAAAGCCGAGATGCACAAGTCTCGCGTTCAGTGCGTGGGCGTTGGTAATCCTGGTTTGGTTACCGAGGTTTTGAACCATCAAATGTAGTACCATTCTTAAATGCGTGTATGTATGCAATATATTTTAAATAAACGAAAATAAACTGTTTTGGAACAAAATGTACGTCCTTCGCATAAGTTAGCTATTGAGAACAAGCTAATAAATCTCTGAATTAGTCACATGTTTCGTGGTTAATTTTGGCAGTATCCAAATTTACGACTGATTTTTGTCTGTTTTAATTATAAATCGTGTACTTTTTATTGATCTTGTTCTGTATAATGATGAAGAACTAACAATGTCGCTTTCATGCGCAAAGCTCTTTCATCACACACACACAGACACACAACAGTTAACTTCAAAATGTTGATAGGTGTCGCTTTCTAGAGTTTCACAGAGATATTTGGTGATGGGCGCTGTGAAAGATCTTTCCGAATACAAAGATACATTGTTGTTATTACATTACCTTAAGAGTCAAAACTCATCCAACAGCAAACAAGTACGCATTGAAAACTGTTTAAAGATGGTAGTTATACAAGGCTTAACTAAACCTTTTCAGTACTAATTTAAACTGAAGCCCAATAAATATAAAGAAATAAATAAATGCAACGCACAAGACAGCATGCTAACGGCCATTATTGTAATTGAAAACACTGTAATACATTTAAAGCCCACAATGCTAAGTTATTTTTACAAATATATTGTGACGTATTCGATGTGTACTCGATGGTCTCGTATGCGGAAAGAAAATGGATAATGAGTTGTTGACGGTTAGATGAAGGTTTGTTTGTTTGCTTGTTTTAGAATCACATGCTATCTGTTGCGTCTATCGCAGGGAATCGAACCCCGCATTTTAGCGTTCTAAGTTCGTAAACTTACCACTGTCTCGCCGGGGGACGGGTAGATGAAAGAGACAAGACTCGGCGATGAAACTGTTACAAAAAAAACACGAAATAGCTGATACGGCAAAACAGTGAAGCCGAATAAACGGTTACGAATAAATACAGTGTAGTAATTAAACGAATCAAAACTGATCTTAATGACTGGAACTATTTAACGTAAAACACAATGGAAAGTAAAATAAAACTTAATTAGATCTTGAAATACAAGAACTAATTACAGATAAAAAAAGACTGTATACACGGTTAGATCGCTGAAAACAAAAACAAAGAACGAAATGGAACACTTAACAAACAAGTCTTCCAAAGTCAAAAACAATCTTCATGGAACTCACCAAAACTGCTTTCGTCATAACTTGAACTCCAGAAGTTCGGCCCCCCAGTGGTACAGCGGTATGTCTGCAGATTTACAACGCTAGAATCCGGGTTTCGATACCCGTGGTGGGCAGAGCACAGATAGCCCTTGTGTAGCTTTGTGTTTAAGTACAAACAAACCAGAATTTCGATGACACCTCCACCTGCTGTGACATTCATGAACTAATCTCACACACACAGTTATATTGACAATAATACACCTATTCCCATGAGATAGTAGATACCAAGACCTTGACTAAATCCTGCGGTAAAGAGTAAGACTTGGAATTTCATTTCATAAAGAAAATATTTTTTTTTAAAGTATGAATAAAGTATACGATAAATGTCTATCACATTGTTGAAGAGGAGACATGTTTCGAGCACGAGGTATTTTTGAACTTTTATAGATAACCCAACTGAAAATAGCTAGCAATCCGTTCGCAAAGGGATTCCGAGAAGGAGACGATCAAAAGTTGGTAAAGTAAAACAAAAAATATTGTCTTGATTTAGTTTTGTCTAAAGAATAGATAATCTTCATGGGATTCTCGAGAAACTGGTTAAGAATTTGTATATAATATCAAAGTATCCAATGAATACTTAAACCTGGTGACAAACAGGAGAGGAAAACTACGTTTTAAATAGAATGAAAGTGATTTATTCAAAGCTTGGATGAAAGAAACGTAGCGATACAAAACTTAAAAGAAGAAGAAGGTAACATTTCCAAAGAAATAAAGTTATGAAGAAACTAATTTTAAAACAATTGGTCTAATTAATAGCCACGTGGAAATTTTGTACGGAAACGAGCTGATAAAACGCTAATGACTACGTCTATCTTTTGTTTTTCTTCTTCTTATTTGTAATGGACACAGCTTTTAAGACTTATACTTCTTGGTCCAATATTCATAAAATTCGTTTTCGTGCCATTTTTTGCTTAACAATATATATTTTTACAGGTCCGCTACATCTGCACTTTCAGACATACTCTCGAGACTCCCGCCAACACAGAAATCGCGGAATCCACAAAGACCAAGCTCTATTCATCTTTTGAGTCTTTCTCAGGATTCATCAGTGACCAAAGCGGAAAAAGGCGAGTCCTAGGTTACTAATATGGTTCTACTTG